AAGAACTGACATTACAACACAATACTAATATGGCATAAATTAAGGCACATAACAGAGTGATTGCGAGTAAATATCTTTATTCCAATCAAAAATAGAAATTTTTCTGACTTCTGCGGCGTAAATCCCCGCACGGCGTAAATACCGGAGTTACCCTAATAAAGTTTTTTTTTTTGTTGAAATTAAATTCACTCGAACTTTTCATTATTTTCAAACGGACAAATAAAACCTTAACAATATTAATCATTTTTATGACGTAACATACAATATAATAAGATATAATAAATACATACCTAAATCGTAAAATAGGAATTGGACATGAAGACTAAGACATAAACTTGCAGAAGCGATAATGACTGCATCGCAAATTCCGGACCGAATCTGCTCGTAACCTTTCACTATAGCATAGTTACTTGAACTACATGCAGTATCAATACTATGCGATTGTCCAGTAGCGCCTAACCAGTAAGAAATGGTATTTGCCATGAAAGAAACGTTGCATCCAGTCATAGGTAATCTAGCAAGCTAATCACAATACATGTTTGTAAATATATTTGAAATATTGAAATATATAAATAACAAGTCAAATTTGTTTGTAAAATTATTAAAAATTATTGTATAATTTTTCTAAACTTTATATTCTAAGGAAACAAATTTCCATATTTGCAACAAAAATTTTACACATATCAATGATTATTATTTCTTTAAATACATTTCTATTAATTGTGTTTTATATAATAATTAAATACATTACACCTCAGAACCTGTAAAAGAAAAATATCCTTGAGTCTCTGACTGAGAAATTGCTGTAATAACACTCGTTCTTGTTCCCCGTAATTCTTTTGGGTTTATACCCGCATCGATAATTACTTCATAAGTATGCTCGAGTAACATTCTAGTCATAGGATCCATTATATGAGCTTCTGTTGCAAGTATATTGAAAAATTCTGAATCAAATTTTTCGATATTGTTGACTTTACCGATTCGATGGGGCATATTATAAGCTATATGAGAAATAAATATATTAAAGAGTAACAAGTAAAAGAAGGCTTTAACAATAAAAGAAGCTTTAACAATACAATGTGGTTGACAAAGCGTACGTTAACGTAAGTTAACGTTATAATAACTAATATATAATTATACATCGGACATTTCGGTTTTGTTTTAAGTAGTCAAATCTTCAGCGGTGACAAGTGAATCAAAATAATCTCGCACTCTCCAACGAGAAATAATTCTAGCCCAGTCAAAATAGCCCGAAAAAGCCGCTGAAATGGAATTAATTCCGGGAAGCGATTTTTTTTTTTTTTGATTGTTTCGGAGGGTCATGGGTAGTCTAAAACCGGATTTTCGGGATCCTAACCCTGGAGCGTTAGCCGCCATTTTGATTAGAAGGGTGATTTTGTAAATATCTCGCTTATTTTCAACTTTAGAGTGAAAATGTAATAACCAAACTTGTAGAAAATTTAATACTCTACAATTTTGGTCCTTCCTATCATTTTTTACCTAGGATCGATATTTTGGGTCTTAGACTCGAAAGTGGGGGGTAAAATTTTATTATTTTTTTTTAATTCTTTGAATAAACGCGCCATAAACTCTACCTCCGTGGTGGTGTGGAAAAGATGTTTTTCATTATACCAAGTAAATTCAAAAAATAAAAAAAATTTCACCCCCCACTTTTGAGTCTAAGACCCAAAATATCGATTCTAGGTGAAAAATGAAAAGGATCAAAATTGTAGAATATTAAATTTTCTACAAGTTTGGTTATTACATTTTCACTCTAAAGTTGAAAATAAGCGAGATATTTACAAAATCACCCTTCTAATCAAAATGGCGGCTAACGCTCCAGGGTTAGGATCCCGAAAATCCGGTTTTAAACTACCCATGACCCTCCGAAACAGTCAAAAAAAAAAATTGCTTCCCAGAATTAATTCCATTTAAAAGTCTATTTTGACTGGGCTATTCCAAAATTTGGTGGTCTAAAAGTAGTATAATCTGCGAGAAAATTCAAGTAAAACTTAGAGCCTCATTCGCACAAGACTCTCGTATTGTAACGTAGCATAACGTAACGTGGATCAACGCACAAGAAACAAATTGGGTACGGCTTTGTACGTTTCTTGTGCATTGACTCATGTTATGTTACGTTACGTTACGTCACCAGACGAGAGTCTTGTGCGAAGGCTCGTAGTTTATCCCTATAATATCATAGTTTATAATATAATTGAAATAGAAATTACAGTCAGAACTTCAACGACAAGAGAAATAAATTAAATCACCCATCAGTTCATAAAATGCAAAAATAAAGTCATATTTTATAAGAATATTTATATAACACTGAGGAACACGGATTTTTTTTGTCGGGCCAATGGCAACCGATTTTGATATGTTTTTTTCCGTAGAATCCGAATCTGAAAACGAAAATAATAAAAAATTGGCTCTATTAAAAAAAAAAAAAAAATACGGTGCTCCCGTTGTTTTTCTACAAATATTCAAAAATAAACAAAAACACGTTTTTTGGCATCTTTGACCCCGTTTATTTAAAAAACCAGAGCCAATATAGTATTTTCAAAGCCAGCTTCTTGTTCAGCGGAACCAAGTTAGTAAAAAATACCTATTCTTTTAAAAACAATCTGAAAACAATAAGATTTTGTTGTCCAGTGTCTATAATATATATAGACTTCTTTCTACATAAAAAATAATAATGTTTTTAAGAATTTATAATATGCATCCGGATCGTTTTCAATTATGGTATTAGAAATAACGAAGCCATGAAAATGTTTAAATTAATGAAAGATAAATTTATAATTTTTGAGATAAATTACGAGGATTGTTTTTGTTATATATGTATATATTGTGTACATATACGTAGAGTTACACAATTTTCTTGGATTCTGATATCGTATTTTAAAATTATTGGATTAGATATTG